GGCCATGCCAACAATATCTCTTGACGCAAGAACTTAATGGTCTCAACCAAATGTATTATTAGGTAAATTTTACTCTTAGCAAGTGCTGCTTATATGCCAATATCCAGCATTGTAGACTTAGAAAATGGCCACTTTAAAACTATCTTCTTTTTTTTTTGGTAAGATGTATTAAAGTTTGGCGATGCCTTACCCTCTGTCATAGCAGGGTTCATACTTTGGTTTATGTTTTTGCATATTTTCAATTAACCAAATAGGATTGTTCAAGTTCAATATTCATTAATGGATATAACAGATTAATCACATAATATTCATTAATTGCTAAAAGGGCTTGAAAAGAAGCAATTTACACCTACCGCCTAAATGCATGGATAAAATTATAAAAACATCTATGGTTATGCTGCAATGTAGATGAAATTAGTTCCTCATAAAGTGTGTAAATGGTAGCAAAGAAGAATGTCTGAATTCAGAAGAAGAATTGTCTCCCAAATTTGCTTAAGGGAAACAAACAAACAATGACTAGAAACAAGATTAAGAAAAATTGCTCAAAATCTAATGATAAATGAATCATTAATTTATACTATTAATGAAATGAAGGAGATAATCATAACTTTAAAAAATAATAAAAAAATCACAGAGAGTACCCATTATTGTTGATGAAGAACAGAAGATGCTGCTTGAAGCTTGGATTTGGAAGTCTAAATTGACTTCTGATCAGAATGATATGAGGATAAGTTGATGAAATCTTTCATAAATCATAACAGCAAACGTTGCGGTCTCAATCCCCGTAAAGAGTAGGTTCAGGGCCTGTCTCCTCATTCACATCATCATCATCATCTTCATCTCTGTATTCTCCGTCTGCATTTTTCTCGATTACAACATTCCCCTTCTCTGCTATCTCTGTCTTTTCTCCGGTGACGGCTACCGGTTGGTTGAGCTCTGAGTTGCAGAGAAGTAGAGTCGTCGAGTAAGAAACGAACTCGGATATGGAATGAGTTGAGATTAATTTCGTAGTGGAAATCTCCAAATTGAAGGGAATAGACGAAAAAGATTGGTTGTCGCCGTTGATTTGTTACCTTCGGCTCTGTCGGCTTTCGGAGGCATCGAATCGCAGGAAAAATGCGCGGGAAAAAGTGCCTCACGCAGATTGTATTTGGGTTTTGGGCGAACCGTGAGGGACGAGAGAGACGAGAAACTTGCCTGATACGGTTATTATATATAGTTTTTTAAAGTGGTGTCGTTTTGAGCCTTGGTTTGTTACTTAAACGACGGCGTCTCACCTCACATGCTACTTATCCATTAGTTCGTTCTTTTTTTTCAACAATATTAGCTTGATGGACCTGTACCTTGTCCCCCGACTACTCCAAATCTGATTGTAAAATGCATTTCTACGATTTAAAAAATGAGATTCGAATCTTCCATTCCTAATTATAAATCGTTCAAAAAAATAAAACAGTATTTCCTAAGTAGAAGTACCCTTTAAAACTAGTTATTAACCAGTGGACTTATTTTATTAGGACAGTATGCCATTAATTCCGTATTAGTTGAATTGATTGATGAATTTTTAGATAATTTTTTATACAATTTTAATGTTATTTAATAATTAATTTTTTTATTTTATTAATATTATTAATATTA